TTTTTTTTTTTTTTTTTTTTTTTTGGTCCTCAGTCTTATTTTCACCAACATTATTAGCTTTTTTTCCCTTTGTGACTTCATATTTGTTATTTTAATGGGAACATAATGCTTTTATAGGGTATGTATACACTACAATTTCATTAACTATTCCTATACTGCTGAGCATTTAGTCTATTTCCAACTTCTCACAATAACGATTATTGCAGCATTAAGATTCTACCTCCTATGGTGACTTATTTAAAATTATTTCTGTAGGCTACATCCCTGGGGGTGTGTAGAATGGAGGTACATAAGATGGCATGTCTTTATTGGGTCTCGAAATTTTCATTCCAAACTGCTTTCCAATAGGTAATAATTTATATTGCCATCCGTAAGATATGTATGTATTTTTATTAACAGATACAAAATTGTACCTCACCAAAGTTCACAGAAGCATGGCTGAAAATCCTGAAGGTATTTTTTTTGGATACTTGAACTGAACAAATAAGAGCACAGGGAAGAGATGTAGCATTTGGGGTGAGATCTGCCCTGCCTGGGGTGTGACTTTTGAGCAGTGTGGCCATGGAGGGCAGCAAGAAAGATGTACCCAGGGAGATCACTGACCATGCAGCAGCTCTATGGGTTTTAAGAGGATCACGAGATCTAAGACCCTTGGAGCAATAAGTACAGAGAAAGCAGGGCCTGGAGAGGAGGGGCTGAGAGCAGCTCAGAAAAGAACGAGCAAATTGCTGTCATAGACACACAGAGAGAAGTGCCTCCAACCAAGAGGGTGAAGCACTGGAGTCAGAGCCAGAGAAAGCAGAGAAATAAGAGCTATCCCTAGAAGCAGAAGCCTTGGGCATGGCATCAGGTACCAGACGCCAGGCTGCAGGTGCTGAGAATTGAGAAGCCCATGCTAGGGGAGTTAAATGCTCCTGAGGTCAAAGAAGACAGCAGGCAGAAAGGCTCTCATGACTCCACCCACAAGCTAATGACTGCCTAGTCTGTCTGGCCAGCCCAAGTGCCCTACTGAATCACAGGCCCTATTAGCTATCAGCCTGTTGGACATCCCCACACCCACAGGTTAGAAATCAAGAGTCACCTGGAGCCACTCTCTTCTGCTGCTCACCACCAAACAGTCATTAGGCCTCACTTCCTGCATTATGTCTGGACTACTCACTGATATAGTCTCCATTCCAGTTTTTACCTTCCACACATCCATCTCCCTGTTCAACCCATGTTATGTCAGAATAATGCATCTATATCTGCACTTACTTAAAGCCCTTTCATGGTGTGCCCAGACTTTAAAGACCCTTAGTTTAACACACAAGTCCCTCAAGGCATATGATGCCTTTCCTTCTAGCATCCACTTCCTATCACATATTGGAGGTCTCCCAGCAAGACTGCTAATAAATTCCACTGCTATGTTTACAAGGAACTTGTCCCTTAAGAACTGGGAGTGTGTGAGCAGATGGAGCATCCAAGGCAAACTCTCAGTTTAAGAGTAGGAAAGCATATATTTGGCCACAACTTAAATCTCACTGAGTACTTGCAACAGGGCTCTCTACCACTGTCTGAGGCTCCAACTGGTAGAAATGGGGATTCCAAGGTGAAGGCCAGGAAGAAGAGCTTGTAAGGACACATGTCTGTGACACTACCTGTGACTGGCTCATGCCTTATGGAGGAGAGAATGGAACCCAACAGACATCTATGCTTACAGGGCATGAGCAACACCTATTTGTACCCGTACAATCTTTACACGTCATTGTGTGTGCTTTTCTCACTCAAGTAACTATTTTTAAAGGGACATCACTGGAGGTTTCCACATCACTGAGGCTTCTTCCTCAACAACCATGCCATCAGGGGATCAGGGGACAGTTTCACACTTCAGAAGAATTCCCTCCAGATGTGTACAGCCTCTAAAACCCATTGTCCCTTGGCTCATTGAGGTTCAAAACAAGAAACCTGGCAAAATTCTCTCCTGCCTCTTAATGGCAGCAGAAACAAAAGGAAGTGGCATCCCTCACCACAGCAATGGGAAACAGTGTAAAGATTCTGGCTCCACCCAAGGCAGGGATGATGTGATTAAACAGCTCTCAGACGCTAGCAAAGGAGACATTCTGTTCTTCTCAGACTGCTCTGCTTTTGAATCCAACTGTCTCTAGAGCACTCATCCCTTTCAAGTGGCTCAGAAGCATTAAGTGCAATTCTATTCCATGCAGCTCTGAACTCACCCAGTGCCTTGTAAATTGGTATCTCTGACCTATCTGTGAGTCAGACTACTCTTTTGCTCCCACACTTCCTTCCAAAGCCTACTCAAACATAGGAGGGCTAGAGAAGATACTGGGGCTGGCTCATCAGTTGGAGCCTGAAATGAAAATATGGAGGGTCCTGTAATCACCAAGCTCCACCTCCAAATATTGGCCCTTACTAAGTTTAGAAAACTGGTATTTGGCCATGAGAGGCATTGATGTTAAAGTGCACAAAGGTATTGCTGCACCATGGCCTCTGCTGCACTGCGGCCTCTGCTTTGAGAGAGATGGCAGGCCTGTGGCTTGAGCAAGGCTCACTACATCTCAACTGGTAAAACTGAAAGCATTATTACATCACTTATGGGAATGTGACTAGAACTCACACCAGTATCAAGCAGGCACGTCATAGTCAGAAGGACACTCACCCGGACAAGGTCCATTTCTTGGCTGTTCTCCATGAAGGCCCAAAGCTTGGGGCTCAGCTCCCGCCACATGCCTTCCACATCATGGAATACAGCCAGTTCCTGGAAGGTCTTATTCACCTAGAGTCAGGTGGGAGCCAGGGACCACAGGAAAAGTGGAGAGGCAAAAACGAGCAATTCAATGCTCCCTAAAAGGACATCCCATCCCAGCACCCCCAGCCAGTCTTCACCCATCCCCCCAAAATGCTTGCCTGTAGTTAGGATTCAAATATACCTAGAATGCCTGCCTATAGCTGATTCAAGTATTTAGGGCTTAGAGGCTGTCCCTTAATGGTCAGCTCTTGATCAGGCTTGAGGTTTTCACTCTTTAAAAATCCCCAATGAGTTATAAGTCTACTCAGCACACTCCATCTGAAGCAGCCTTTACTTTTTTGTCCCTAATTCTGGAAGCATTCTGAGGAGGGACTCGGGCCTGGGCAGCTTACCTCAGCCATCACCTGCCTCGTGGCTGGAGTATCTGGTGTATACAGGATCTTCCCGACAAGCAATGGCTTCAGTGCTTTCCAAATAATGCGGGAAAGAGGGCTAGACTCCAAATTCTTCAGCAAATCATTGCAGTAAGGAGCTAAAACCATGGAAGACAAGCATTCGCTCATATGCATAGCCTTACACCAGTAGGAACTTACAGGGTTTTGGGAGTGAGACAGAAAATCCCAGTTACACAACCCTACTCTATCACACTTCAGTCGCATAGCAAGTAACTTTATCATGTGAGCCTTCATTTGCTCTTCTGTAAAAATAAAGTTCATAACATCTACTTGGCAAAAGACTTGGGGAAATCTGTAAAGCTTCTAGAAAGGTCCTTGATAAATAATCAGAGTACCTTATAGCTAAAAACAGAGCCAAACTAGAAACAATGTTTTTCCTATGCACAAAACCTCATACCTCTAGACTCATACTCTCATGGTAGTCCTAGGACTGATTTCACTGAAAACAAACAGGACACTTGGGGAGCGAACAGCAGGATGAATTCAAACTTTGGTTTTCAAGCAAAAGCCAAAAAAATTTTTTTAATGGATTAATAGATTTCATCACACGTACCTATACATGAATATCAAATAAAAACTTAAAACTGAAACATCCAAAGTTGTAACTATCAAATAGGTTTGATTACTCCTGATTTTTCAAAACTTCATTTTAAGGTTTTTAGTTGATTTTTTTTAAGACACCATCTAACCTCTACATGCTACAAGACCATAGAATGGTGGGGGTCTGGAGATGGAACCCAAGGCTTAGAAGCATGTTAAGCATGTGTTGTACCACTGAGCTGCAACCCCAGCTCCCTAATTTGTTAATAAAGAAGATCTGCTCACAAGTACATCTGTTATGTAAATGAGGGCTCCCATGGGTCTATTTGCATGCTGGGGCCAAGGAAAAAAATGTCATTTCATAAAGCTGCCTCTGATGTCATCCCTTTCAGGCTGTAAAGCAACTTGCAAACATCTAGAGTGCATTACTCCAGAGGAAATAAAAGGTTCTCGTACTACAGCAATGCACAGAAAGTTCTCCCACTCACTGTCTGAAAGACACACCTACAGCTGAGAATGAAGAAAGGCTTAGCTGTAGTGTGTCTTTGAGGAAAAGTATATGACACTGGATCCCTGGTGCCGCCAGGCGCAAGGCACACATCCCCACAAAACTTCCCAAGTGTGGCAAGCTGGTATGGAATTACCTTCTTTATCCTTGCGGCTAAGAACACAAAACAAACAGGAGATCAAACATCCGGGTGTGATGGTAAACACATTAACAAGAGCATTTGAGAGGCAGTGTGGTTTTCCAGGAAAAGCCCAGAGCTAGGAGGATTGAAATTTGAATCCCAACTCTTAAGAGCTTAGCTATAATATGGCTCTGATCAAGACACTTACCTTCTCTAAACTTCTGAAATGTGAACCTTCCTGAATTTTCAACGGGGTAAAATGAGATAACTTAAACAGACTGCAAAGTGCATAGGAAATTTTACCTAAACGTTAGATTTTTGTTGTAGTTGTTGTTATTACTGTTATTTTTAGGATTTTATCATAATGCTGATCTCAACAGTAATATTTTAAAGGACCAAGATCTCATCCTTTTTATAATCTCTCTGGCTGTATGAAAGTATAATTGATAAATAATAGTGGCATATATTTAAGGTTTACACAACCTGGTGTCTTGATGTATATAGGAAAGTTAACATTTACATAACCAAGTTAATTAATATATCCATCTCACATAGTTATAGGCTGTGCGTGTGTGTGTGTGTGTGTGTGTGTGTGTGTGTGTGGAGGGGGTAAGAATACTTAAGGTCAACTCTCTTAGCAAATTTTAAGTATACCACACAGTGTTATTAACTAGAGTCACTAGGCTATACATTAGATCTCCAGCATCTGTTCCTCTTCCATAACTGAACCTTTCTTCACTTTGACCAGCATCTCCCATTCCTTCACCGTCCAATCCATGCCCACCTCCTTCCTACTGTTTTTATGAGTTCATTTTTTTAGGTTCACATATAAGTGAGATCATTTAGATCTGTCTTTCTGCCAACACCCTTAATTATTCTGGAACAACCTTCCTACCTCCCCCAGGAAACTGAGAACAGTCTTCAATCATTCATACATTTTGATAAACACCACCATACACCTGAGATGTACCAGTCCCCAAACAAAGAACTGGGGGTAATTAGCTAAACTGGGGATAATAAGATCCCATTCCCCAGGAGCTCAGAATCTTCCAGGAAAACAAATATGTCAATGTCTAGTGCTGCCACAGAGCATTCAAGTAAGCGTGAGGAGGGAGGTGACTCAGACTGATCCCAGGCCTAAGGCAGGGATGAGGACAGAGCTCTGGTCTGCAGATACTCACTTGTAGAGTTGTCATAGAAGGTTTCAGCATCTTCCTCAGTGCCATTGCCTCCAAAGAGGGCTTTGTAGTTGTTGTCCTCATACCAGTTGAGAGACTTGATCAGCAGCCCCCCACCTTCTGGGTGACCACAGACGATTCGGGACACAGCTTGGTATATCTGGGTGGAGGAGCTGGAGCCGTTCATATTAGTCAGAAACATCACTTCTTGCCGCATGTCACTCCAGCTCTTCATGCTGAACAGCTGATGCCACGGATGGGGAAGAAAAGGAGAGAGCAGACAGGGAGTGGGAAGGGAGAACAAGGATTGGGACAAAGAGACAGAAACACCTCATTTTCTTGACCTTTCCAAAGCCATGCTACGGAATATATTTTACCTGACATCATCTCAAAGCCTTGATATGGGTTTGTCAGAACCTTCCTTTTCTATCTGTGGCTCTGGTTTGCATTAGCTGAGACACTGTTTAAAATGCAGACTCCAAGATCCCTCTGCAGACCTGCAGAATTCACACTTGCTTTTTCACCAGGTGCCCACGGAATCCCTGTGCCCATTTAGGTGTAAGAAGCACATCCTAGAAGTTAGTGGATCCCCCAGTGATGGCCTTTACCTCATGGGGACTCTGGCTTGTTGGAGAGAATGCCTTCTCTAAGTGGCTATGTCTGAGCATGAGTCGATCAGGAACTGTTTCCACCCTTGATCACAGACTCATTTTAAAAACATCTTAAACTCGAAATTAAAGAGCCTGCTGTCTTTTCTTTGAAAGAAAGTGTGTGAAGTTCCCTACTCTGGTTTCAGTGAAGTGTCGGGTAATTGAAAAGCGTACGGTGGGAGATCTGATTTTGAATCCTAGTGATGTCTCCCATTGGTTTGCAGCCTTAGAAACATCATATACATCTCCAGGACCAACCTGTCATCAAGGTGATGCGGCTAACACAGAGCATGGGAGGAGTAAATGACACAACACATGTGACAGCCCTCACAGAACAGTCCTAAAGAGGATGAGTTAAAGGCCTCCGGCAGCCAGCGGCTTGACTATGTCTAAAGTCATAAACATCAATAAACGAACAGTGCCCTGCCTTACATACAAATGTCCTCCAGTACCTTGTAGGGTTCTTGGCCTAACTGCTCTTATTAAATATTTGTGTTTTGCACTGCCGCACATTTCATAACAAATCACCACTACATCCCTCCATTCCTTGAAAGGTCACTGCACGGTCTCACTGCCTAGGAAGAATGAGCCACAGAGAGAGGGGCAGAGGCTGCTGGATCCTGTTTGTATCCTGGAGAATTCCATGTGCCCATCTTCTACTTCTCTCCTCAGCCAGCTTCAGTGAATAAAGGATCTTGAATACTGTAGGTCCTAACCTCTGCCTTCTGCTTCCATTGTCGGCCTAGGCTCTGGCTGGGGGGCACAGGACAAACTGATTTCTTTCTCAAGAGAGGGAACACCTAGCACACTCCGCAGAAGCACAATTAGGTGGACAGCTTTTCCTTGCTTTATCATTGCATAAGCTGTCTGGAATAATGGGGTGTTCAGAAGGGGAAGGGAGAGCAGATAGCATCTTTCCTTTCGTTGGATGATGGCACAACCCTACGTATTTTTATGTGCTAGTGAGACAATGCCACTCACTTATCTTTCCACGTGCTGCCTTACACCACCTCCCAATCTAAAGAATGCATTTCTTCCCACATAAAGGTAGAAGAACACCTTTGGACAGAGGTATCATCAATTACTGAGTTGTTCCTGAAGTGTGACACTTCCCAGCACCAGCTTTCCAGGTCATTATGGCTTGTGTCTACACGTCACCCCAAAGCCTCGTGTGCCTTCGGTGGAGCTTTTCAGAGGTGACTGGATCTAGGGTGTGTGAATGGGGTTAAGGGTGTGACACTGGGATTAATGGTTTGTGGTACTGGATTTCCACTGATTGGTTTATGACAGTTCTGGGTATGGATAATGGGAAGGCCCACCTTGGGTGTGGGTGGCACCACCCAAAAGGCTTGTAACCCAGATGGGATAAAAGGGAGAGGGATCTTGCTGCTTTGCCACTTTGCTGCCTTCTGCTTGCCACACTGTGAACTGTTTGTCCACTGCGATGCCCCTCTGCCGTGCCACCCTACCTCGGAGCCAGCTGACTATGGACTGAAACCTCTTCGAACTGAGCTGGAAGAAACCTTTCCTCCTTTAACTTGTAAGTGTTTGGTACTTTGGCCCACTAACAAGAGAAGTAACCAAAATGGAGGTCAACTCCTGATCGCCTTCCCACAACTCAGTTTACACTCCACACTTCCTCTATAAAGTGCCCTGACTCACAGAAAGAGTGGCTAAGGTGATAGCTGATGCTGTTTGATAATTATCTGTTGAGTGAAGAAATGGGCCACTGACTCACTGCTTCTTTGATCCACTGCAATGGTCTTTATCCTTTCTCACAATTACCCCAGGTACTTCACAGTGCAGCCGCCAGAAGAAAAACACCCTGTAAACTCTAGATCTCATCACATCCCCTCTGCTCCAAGCCCTCCACTGACTTCCCATAGCACCCAGTGAAAATCCAGAGTATGATGAGGTCTACACAGGACTTACTCCTTCTCTCATTTCATCTTTAGTCACCCTGTCACTAGCTAACTTTCTTCTGGCCCCACTGGCCTCTTTCCTGGTCCTTACTCATGTCCTTAAGCATGCCCCAGGATCAGTGGCTTTGCATCTTGAAGTGCTCTTTTCCTCTACACGGACATGCTACTATTTCCTTCAGCCTGACCAGTCACCTTATCAGGGAGGACATTCCTAATCACTCCCTGAAAATGGTACCCAATGTTTGTCTGTACCCTCTTTACTTGGCTTCATTTTTCTGCATTGCACACATTCCCACTGTCACATTATACACTGACCCGTTTGATTCTGTCTCCCACCCCGTGGTGACATTCCTAATCACTCCCTGAAAATGGTACCCAATGTTTGTCTGTACCCTCTTTACTTGGCTTTATTTTTCTGCATTGCACACATTCCCACTGTCACATTATACACTGACCCGTTTGATTCTGTCTTCCACCCGTGAGGACAGAGGACTTACGACACGCATTGCTGAGTCCCCAACATCTAGCACGGCCAGGCACCTAGAGTATCCGAGACACTGCCTCCTGTCTTAATTTCCCAATCTTGTCTGGCGTATCTTCCCCACTACTCCAGATGGGAAATTCTTATCAGTTCTGATTTTCCCTACTCCCAAGGTCCCCATTTCTACCCAATTCCTAGGTCTGCTAATATCTATCTTCTTTCTTTGGAGGGTCTGCTTTCTATTGCAATTGAGTTTGTGACAAACTCTTACAATAGAAAGGAGTAAATGAGAACATGGACTTTGGAATCTGATTGGTTCACGACTGTGGGGAAGCTGCCTATTTTTCTGACCTTAGTGCCACCTGTAAAGTGGCACAGTAAATCCATGTCACATGTGTCGTATATATTATCTGGGGAAATAAGGTGAAACTGCCCAAACCAAAGCAGTTCCTCAAAAATTGCTGGCTCCCTTTCTCTTTTCCTTTCAAAGGAATCAACTTTCCTTCCAAACACTGACCAAACAAACAAGTACATTGGCATATCTTCTCTTATTTGCTCTTTCACAGAAATAGCAAATTAAACAATGAGTAACTAGTAATCAAACTGATTTGAAAGTGTTCTATTGGAGTAACCAGGGGTCCTTGCTTGTCCTGGAGCAGGAGCAAGCAGGACACAAAAAGAAGCTGCCATGAAAACAATGTGTATCAGTTGGAGAGTTTCCACCACACCAGCAATGGGAATACCACATGCTTTGGATTTTTTTTTTTTCCCCCAGACAATAGCAGAGCCAGAGATGTAAGAGAAAACAGCTGTAGCCAAACTCTGAGTTTAGACACAGCCTCCCCTGTTACTGCTTCTGCTTTGCTTTCTCCAAGGCCAGAAATGAAGGAGGGCAAGGAGGATGGGAGAGAACCTGCCAGAGTGAGACACATCAGTGTCAGCTAACCAGGCCCTGGAGAAAAATGGCTGTAGCCTTGCAGAGCAGTTTCTCTTTCACTTTCTGTCTCCTGAAAGAACCCCAGTTGGCCGGACTTTTCCACATAGCTAAAGGTCACCAGCCTTCAGAATGGAGCAACACGATAGCCTAGAAGGCTGCTCCTGACAGAGGCCCTGAAGCCCAAGTCTCTTCTGTCGGAGATATAAGCAGAATTAAAAAGAAAGAAGAGGCCAGGATGGAACAGAAAGAAATATACTGAACTGATGACAGTGTTAATCTTGGGGTTTTCTACGTTTTGTCCAAATGTTCTATATTTTCCATAATGAACATGCAATACTTTTACTGCCAGCAAAAGTAAATTTTGATATAAAAATGATACGTGCAAAAAATTGATCTAGAGAAGCAGCTAAAAGTGAGACTAGATTAAATCTGAGAAACTTGCCCCACCCATATTTTTTATTCTCTTATACCTTGTACATTGAAGTCTGCATTGTTTGTGGCCACTGCTTTCTTTCCAAGAATAATGTGAAGAAAGGCTGGGAGTCAGAGAGGGTGGAACACACACTGGCTAGGAATCAGAGGAAAAGGTAACTGCTTCTGTAAGGGGCTCTAATTCGTGAACTAAGATTACTCTGACATGTAGTCACATTTAATGTTCATTAAGAGATCATATTCCAAAGTTGAACCTGAGAGGCCAGATTTTACAAGGGAAGAGATGTATTGGGCATGCCATGTTGTTCTTGCTAATTAGCGAATGCATGTTTTAGTAAAACAACTGAATGATCTTGCTACTGAAGAAGCAATATGGAGAAGTTACTAGTCAGACAAAAACAGTGCTTAAAAGGTCAAGAGAGAATTCTCCTCCTTACAAATGTGTGATTATCTAGGGACAGATAGAACCCAGGGGAGAAAGCTCTAGACTAACTATGAGGCTTTTAGCCACTAACTAATTAGCTCTGAGACATGGATAAGTCTTTTTTTTTTTTTTCATCGCTGAAGTAAAAAGATCAAAACAGTTCATTGTTTTATTGCTTTTGCTTCTTAAACTGACATTCCACCTCATGTGGTATTCAAATTAAAACAACTCTCTCGGCCACACTCTGAACTAAAAGCAAACTGATGGCAAATGCTCTGTTCGCTGGTACTGGAAGGACATAACTTACCTCTTGGGCCAGACTCCCAAGACTGTCCAATAAAGTTTTCGTGGCTTCCTCCAGATGCTCAGTTGGAAAGGGAGATGTAGAGTTCAGTCCTCTCTGGAATGAGAAAAACAAAATACTTCGTTTCAAAAGAAATCCTGAAATTTCTATCAATAACACACAAATTAATTAGAACTATTCCCAATCTTTAATTTAAAAACAAGAAACTGACTCCTAACCAAAACAGAAGATACAATATCTATTAAAATTGCATGTACATTTGCAAGTTTTTCTTCAGATAAAAATTTCTGATTCTTTCATGAATGGCTGTAAATGCTGTAGGAATAAATATTTAAAGCCAGTTACAATGCAATAGATAAAAATACCTCATATGGTTCATGTTCAATAAAATTCTGACAACCAAGTTTCAACTCTGTCTAGATTCTGTAAGACACATATTGTAAGAATGGCCTTGAGAAACAACCTCATGATGGCTCACGAACCAGGAAGGAAATGTAAAGTTTACATCTATTAAAAGTAGAGGAAGAAGGAATTCTCCCCACTCTGTTCAGCACTGTTTTTAACCACTGAAATTTAACAGAGAACACTTATTTTAATATATCTAGTTTTAGTCAACTCTTTATATTAACCAATTCAGATCTTTAGTTGCTATTATGTACCACCTAACTGTGCAGTAAATATAAAAAATAATTCGGTCCAAGGGAAAGATAATTTAAGATTGAAAGCCCGAAGAATGAACAATAATGCATAGTTACGGAGGCCAGACTTACAAGTGGCAGACACTCAAATTTAGTTCTGAGCATTCAGGCTTCCAAAAGGGAAAATGAACCACATATAAAATTCCATCACTCTTATTAGTCAAATAATAAAATCTCTGGGGAGGTGCTCCAAGAAAAATGTATCTTTTCTAGGTACATCTATGAGCTTTGCTTTATTCCACATAATATCATGTACAGTGTAGAGAAAATTGGACTGTTTTGATACTTGTCATTCAGAGATTGCAGTGAAATTTGAACATCAACTACACAGAATATAGCTGGAAGTCGATGCAACTACCTCTGAGAAGTAGCAATCTAATGTATTCTTTTAAAATTAAGTTATTATCATCATAATCACCACATTATCCAAGCATAGTCCTGAATGTGCATTTCTGAGAAATCCGCCCAATGGTTCTATGAAGAACTTGCCCAGACCGATTTCTGAGCTCTTTCAGAACGGCTATGGGAATATTCCCACTTTCATAACCCCCAGAGGGACCTACGGTTTCCCATAAGGTCTCTATTACACAACTCACAGACTGTGTCAGTAATTATGCCTTTCAGATAGAGTAAGTCATGTTTTGATTTTGCTATCTTTGGTCTCACTTTATATCTAAAGATTACCACATGAGAAATTGAACCTATCAACAACTTTAAGCTAAGGGAATTCTCACAAACTAACTGGTCTTACATGAAAGCTACCAAAGGCAAAGTGTTGTTGGTTTCCTGTAAGAATCACAGTATGAAGTGTTCAGGAAATGTATGGTGAAAACAACACTCATGACAAAACAAGAAGTCCAATTGCCTTTCTGCAAATTTTCAAAGCTTAAAATATGCTTTCTGATCCATTTCTTTCACCAAGCCTGAATAGAAATAAGAGTCTTATAATTTTCTCTTGTCACCTGAGCAAATGACTTGAGTCGCCCTACTCCCTTATCCTCAATAAACAGCAGAGCTAATAATGTAGGGAACACATCGCAGAGTTTTCATGAGCACTGAGCACTGAAGTATTGGACAGGTACAAAGCACTCTGCATGGTGCCTGGCACATAGGAGGTCCTCACGATTATAAACAACTTCATGCTCTGCCCTTTTCTTTACTTCCTCAAAAGTTTGCTATAAAACTGGAGGGCTCCCACCTGTACAGTTTCTAGCTCTTACCAGACCAATATCCTCCTCCTGCTTCTTGGCTAGCTCTTGAACTTTTATCTTGTTATCTTGTTTTAATCTTTTCATCTTGTTTGTTCTTCCTCCACTAGGCAGAGAGCTAGAGTAATCATCTCACATCACACGAGCCATACTCCAATGTGCTTTTTCTAAAATTATAAATATTTCTGACTGCAAGGTTAAGATGTCTTCATCCTAATTCCTATCAGCTTGGGGTCAAATTTCTTTCTCTCCCCCATAATCCTTTACTTTCACTCAGTATTTGCCAAAGTTGGAAGCAAAACACAAGGTTAAGAAGACAAAATATTTGATCCACTTATCTTTTGTGCACACGTACATGTATAAAGGTATAGTGCACACATAAACACATATACAGACACGCATATATTTCTCACACATAACTTGCCCCAAAGTTGACATTTAAATTTAAAACCTTGGGCCAGGGATTTGGCTCAGTGGTTCTGCCACCTACCTCTCAAGTAAAAGGTCCTAAATTCCATCCCCAGTACCAAAAAATAAATAAATAAATATAGGAAAAAATAATATAAAATACAAACTTGGAGTGGGTAGACTTTAATCAAGCTGTAAAAATCCTAGAACAAAAAGGAGAAACAAGTGAACCTACATTTTAAAAATTAAAAACTGTGCATGCATAAAAAGATAACATTAACCTTAAAAAACAAGCCAATACATTTTTTAAACTTTAGCATAAATGGAATATCATGCAGCATTTAAAATTAACTGCATGCCACATATATCAACACTGGTAAATCTCAAACACAATGTTGTATAAACCAGGAACAAAAGGAAGTGCACATTTGCATAACGTGAATACTAGTTAAGTCAATAGTATGTATTGCAACTGACAGAATGTAAATACATGTGGTACAGAGCATAAGATGTGCAACTCCAAAATAGGTGTTATCTTCTTTTTTGAGGGGGTGCTGGAGATCAAACTCGGGACCTTGCACTTGCGAGGCAGGCGGCAGAACCACAGCTAAATCCCTGGCCCATGTAGCATTTAAACTTTTTATTTCACTTAACATTATGGTCTCAAAGTGCACATATTTTCCTACAAATGGCTCAAATTTATCCTTCTTTGTGGCAGAGTGGTACGTATACTACTATGTATAAATACCTTGTATTCTTTATCCTCTCATCTGTTGATGGACAGGCTACTTCCAAGATTTAGTTATTATGAGTTTTGCTGTTATAAACATGGGTATACATACATGTGTCACTAGGATATAATTTCATTAACTCTTTTGGGAAGATACCTCGAATGGCAATAGTCAAATGTAATCTCACATTTTAGTTTTTTAGGAATCTCCCTATTGATTTCCATAGAGATTGGATCAGTTTACATTCCCATCCACAGTGTAGAAGGGTTCCTTTTTCCCTGCAGTCTCACCAACATTTGTCATTATTTGCTTTCTTGAAGATAGCCATTCTTTCAGGAGTAAGATAGAATATAAATGTTGTTTTAACTTGCATTTCTCTGATGGCCAGAGACGTTGAGCATTTTTCAGATACATAGTGGCCAGTTGTACTTATTCTATTCACTTCAATTGCCCATTTTTTGACTAGATGTTTTATTGGAGGAGGGGGAGGTGAATTCTTTATAAATTCTAGATATTATTCCTCTGTCCAAGGAGTAGCTAGCAAATTATTTTTCCCATTCTGTACATTGTGTCTTTATTGACTATTTCCTTTGCTGCACAAAAGCTTTTAAATTGTAATATAATCCCATTTGTTGATTCTTGATGCCATGTCTTCTGCAACTGGAGTTCTGTTTAGAAGATTTTTTCCTGTGCCCATTTTTATCTTCCAGCAGATTGTTTCTGTTTTACTATCTATGTCTTAGATCTATTTTGATTTTATTTCAGTGCCCGGTGATAAATATTGGTCTATATTCAATGCTCTGCACATATGAAACCAGTTTTCCCAGCACCATTCGTTAAAAAGGCTCTTTCTTCCAGCATGTTTTTGGCCCCTTTGTCAAAGATCACGACTTAATATGCCCAAAGTTGTTTCTTCACCTTCTGTTCTGTTCTACTGATGAACATATTTGTCTTTGTGCTAGTAACACACTATTTTTATGACCGTAGCTTCAAGGTATAACTTGAAATCTGGGATCATGATGCCTCTTGTTTTGTTTCAGTTGCCCAAAATCACTTTTGCTATACTAGGTCTCTTCTTCCCACAGGACTGCAGAAACACATTTCTAGGTCTGTCTGCAGCTCATGAAGGGGTCCTTCTGGGGTCTATATCTGGTTCTTCACTCTGCCTTCTGGCTGCTCTGCTAACCAGCCACCATGAACTAAGCATCTTTGCTCTATCATGTCTTTCCATCATGATGTTTCTGCCATGAAGCCAGCTGAGCATGGACAGAATCCCCTTAAACCATGAGCCAAATTAAACCTTCCCTCTTTTAAGTTGTGGGTGATGCATATCATATCCAGCAAGGAGAAGGCTGACTGATATGATCCCTAAGTAGAGGACAGTTTTGTTCTGACTCTTTAAGAACCTGTGAGGCCCTTTCAGGTCCTGCACAAACATCTATCAGAGCATCTTATCCCTACACAACATCTACTCCTGTTCTCATGTGTGGCCCATCGAGTCCATGTCAGAATAATCAGAGAGAGCAGTACCTTATGCATCACTGCCTTCCCAGCTCACGTGCATGGCACTAATTAAGGCTCAGTAAGTGTTGGTTGAATGAATGAATTTGTTTATAGGCTGTCACTACATAAAATAAGGGTTGGAAAAAAATTTTTTTCTTTGGTACTGGGTATCAAACTTGGGTCCTTGCACTTGTGAGGAAGGCGGCAGTACCACTGAGTTAAATCCCCAGTCCTGGAGAAGAATCATTACTAATACATTAGAAGTCAAGCCAAATAGAAGTAGAAGACAAAATATCCATGAAATTAAAATGCAATTGAAAACTATTTCAATTTATAAAATTTTTATCCCCATGCATTTCCCAGAGACTCTACAACTAAATAAAGGAAGATGTGTGTGTGTTTGAATAGTGTTTCCAAATAACAGCCAATTTTGTTTTCCTCCTGCAGATGCACATTACAAATTTATCATTGCAATATTTCAAATTTACTTTAAATACCTTCATAAAGTGGATGCAAATCTCTACTTATTTTGCCCATATGCAAAACAT